CACTCACAAAGCCATTGCCCATGACGCGGCAGAGCCCCTTGAGAGAGTCGCAGTCTCTGTTGGTGAAGTGGAACTGCGCCAGCTGGGAGTTGCGGAACAGGGGGCCCAGGGTGGTCTGGGGGCGACAAGGGGACAGCTGGGTCAGGGCCAGGCGGGTGCTCTGGGGCCAGGGTGGGCAGCAGAGGGTGGGGCCTCACCAGCAGCTGCTGCGGGATCAGCTGCATGATCAGCTTCTGCGGCCACTGGTCGGTCTCCCTGTGGGAAGAAGAGGGTCAGGGGAGCGCCCCTGCCACCCGCCCGCCCGTCCCCTGCCCAGCACTCACAGGTTCTCGCCCTGGTTCACGTAGGCCTGGCAGGGGAGGGCCCGCTTCAGCTTCGCCGTGGAGTCCGAGTAGGGCCTGCGCTTCTGTGGCGGGAGCGGAGGGGTCACTGGACACAGCCCGGGTGCCCAGGCCTGCCCCCACCTGCAGGGGCAGAAGGGACCCCGGGGCCAGCCACCAGCCCCCAGCCCCCCCGCAGACTCACAAGGGGACCTGACGCGGACGCTCACCTCCTGCCACTCGAGGACGCCGCTCCAGGCCAGCAGCTTGTTGCTGAGCCGGTGCTCACCCACAGCCAGGCCCCCGAGGGCGAGCCCGGGCGAGGAAGGCCCGATGGGACCCAGGGCCCCGAAGACCCGAGCACCTTGCTGTGGCAGAGGGGGCAGGGAAACTGAGGCTGAGGGGCCCGCTAGGGGAGCTGTCCCCCACATACCCCAGAAGGGACATCCCAACATTGAGACCCCGATCCCCAGCTGCGAAACCCCCAGGGCCATCTCCAACCCCTTTCTCCCTGGGTTGAGACCCTGAGTGGCTGACCCCCCGTGTCCTTTTCCTGCTGCCACCCCAGGACGCTTCCCCGCCCCAAGGCTACTTGTCACCTCAACACTGGCCCATGCAGGGTCCCTGAAAGCCACCAGTTGCTTCCCCTTCCAGCCTTTGCTCCAGCTGTGCTCTCATCCTAGCGGGCCATCCCCCCGCTACCTTCCTCGGGAGATGCTCCCCACTCATCCTCCCGTGCTGATCAGTTTTTGATTCCTCTATTGAGATAACTCAGAAGCAGCTCTCTGGGGGTCCAGAGCCTCCCTGAAGCTCCCCCCACGACGCACAAGCCAGCCTGGGCTGTGTCCGTCTGTCTGGCACACTGGTTTGCCCCATCCCATCCAAGCTCAAAACCCTTCCAAAGCTCCCCCAAGCCCTCAAGAGAAAATCCAGGGACTCCCCTGGTGGTCCCGCGGTAAAGAATCTGCCTTCCAATGCAGGGGACGCGGGTTCGATCCCTGGTCGGTGAACTAAGATCCCACACGCTGCGGGGCAACTAAACCTGCGTGCCACAACTGCTGCGCACGCGTGCCTCAAAGTACAGAGCCCATGCGCTCTGGAGCCCGTGCACAACTAGAGAAGCCCGCGTGCCGCAACAAAATATCCCACGTGCTGTGACTAAGACCCGATGCAGCCGTTAAAAATAAATAAGTTATTTAATTAATTTTTTAAAAAAATAAAAAAAAGAGAAAATCCAGACTCTCCTCTTTGGCTCCCACCAACCTTCCCAGCCAGTTGCCCGCCTCCCCTAGCGCAGCCCAGGCTGAAGCCACATCAGGCTGACCACGGGGAGGTGGGAAGGAACCAGAACTCTCCAGGGAGGTGGGGACACATTTACAACAGGGAGCCTGACAACACCTGGAAGGGTCTCTCAAACACAACGTCTTGAGAGCACCTGCAAAACACCAGAAGTTCCAGCAATAAAGCCAAGGAAAGCTACACAATTTACTCACAAGACACTCTCCAGTTATCTTTTTTTTAAACCCAAAACATCTTAAAGCAAACAAGGGAAGGCTTTGAAACAGCCTGACAGCAGGAAACCGGTGAAAACCTTCCTAATAGGTGCCTCCAGGCAGCAGAAAAAAAATGGTTGTTACTTTTCATTTCATTACTAATCACTATTTCCCAAATTTCCTATAAAGCACACAGGTGTTTTCTGCCCCAGAGTAACAACAGGCAGGAAAAACTGTATTTTGTAGGGGCTTAGAAAACAAAATAAAAACCTGAGCAAGCATACGCTCCACCTGGGCAGGAGGTTCTGGGATTCAGGCAACCGTAAGAGATCAGGAAGAAAAGCAGAGAGCATCCTGGTGTAAGAACATGGTTGGAGCGTCTGAGACAGAGAAAGACTGTTGTAGCCCTGGGTGTGTAGGTTACCACAGCCAGAGCCCATAACGTCTGAGAAAAACCAGTTAAATCACACACCTGGAGGAGATTTTGGGATCCAGCTGAACTCACTTTAGGGCCCAGTTAATGTGAGCACCAGGGACACCTGTTTAAACTCTGTTTGTGTCTGGAGACCATTCTGACTACGTTTTAACCTGGGTGTAAAAACCAGCGATGCTTAAGCTCAGGTCTCCCCGAAAGCAGGATGCGTGTCAAGGTGGAGGACCACGTTTAAGGGCTAGACATACGTGCAATCCTAAAGGAAATCTCACATCTGGGCAGGTGTGTGTAAAATGCCTCCCACACCTGATCTGTTGCTCACTGCATAGGAAGCCTATTTAGTACCTGGAAGAAGAATGAAAACTTTAAGATGTACGTTTAAGGACCCAGGAGGCGCTTCTGAACAAGCAGACATGAACGCTAAGGAACGGAGAAGGCAATGGAGTGAAGGATGATGTTTAAGTTTAGGGAGGTGTTCCGAGTCCGGGTACCTGAATATAAGATCCGAGAAAACCTGTTTAAGGCTAGTGTGGAGTTGCCACAGCTCCCCGATATGCACAATGTTGGAGCAGGATATTTAAGAAGGAAGCTTGAGTGCCAGGTTAGGGTAAAACGCGCATCTGGGCAAGCATATCACGGCTTGGCTGTGCGTGAAACGTCGGGATATGTAGATTTACAGCTCCAGAAAAACCTTAGGAGTTTTGACAAGTATGTGCATCTTTTAGGTCTCGGGAAGCATGTGTAACTTCGCGTACCTGCAAAGCTGGATGTTTATGTTTAAGATCTGGACTTACTTGGCCTACTGCCATCAGTAAGGGCATCCAACATCTGGGCGAGCGTGCAAATAAACCCTGGGCGCACACACCACGGGCGCCGTACAGACGCGTGCGGGCCCGGGGAGAACGCCCCCGGGGACAACAGCTGGGCGCGCCAGTGCGAGACGCGGGGCCCTCTCGCCGCCGTCCCCCCAGCCCCCTCCCCCATTTCCAGATTTCCTGCCCGGAAAGCGAGCAACTTTCCAATTGGAAAAACAACAGCGCACGCCGGCCGTCCGCCCGCCCCCCACCCCGCGTTTAAATCGGGTCGCGGAGTCAGCAGTAATTTGAGCCCTTCCCGCCCCCGTACCCCACCCCCGCCACCCCATCCCGAATGCGAAACAAAGGGGAGAGCCCGGCGCGTACCACCCAGGGGGGGTTCACGGGGAAGCCGGCCCCAAGCGGGACCACCCTTCGGGTCACCGGAGAAAGCCCCAAAGGGGGAGGCCGCGGACAAAGACGCCAGTCCGGGAAAGGGGCGGGCGGGGCCGTGGAAAGCTCTGGAAAAGGGCGGGGGGTTCACGGGGAAGCCGGCCCCAAGCGGGACCACCCTTCGGGTCACCGGAGAAAGCCCCAAAGGGGGAGGCCGCGGACAAAGACGCCAGTCCGGGAAAGGGGCGGGCGGGGCCGTGGAAAGCTCTGGAAAAAGGGCGGGGGGCTCACCATGGGAGGGGCTGAGCGAGCCCGGATCCGCGGTGGCTGCGGGCCCCGGGGGCTGGCCGGCCAGGAGCGCGAGCGGGCGGCGCGCACCGTGAGGTGCCGCAGGGGGCGGCCGCGACCCCCGAGGGGGCCCCCAGCGCCGGAGCGGTGTGGGGCACGGCGCGGACGGACCATGGCGGGCGCAGGCCGAGCGAGCTGGGGGCTCCACCGACTGAGAGGCGCGGGCGCGCGGCTTAGTGGGAGACAGGCTGGGCTGTACCAAGCGCGGGGGACGCACCGCCGGAGAGGGTCGCCGTGGCCAAACTACTGCGGCGAGCAGGGGAGTGCGGCGCGTACCAATAGCGTCCGCAAGGGGGCGTGGCCTGGGTGTACCAAAATAGGGCTGGGGGAGCCCCGGGAAAAGGGTGTGTGGGGCGGGGAATACGGCAATTGGAAGATACTATGGGCCGCTCGAGCACGGAGGGGAGGAACTGAGAGGACGTGAGAGAAACCACTTCAGGGGGGCGCGGCTGGAAACACCAGACCGAAGGGTGACAGGAGGAGATGAACGTAGAGGGTGATACCAAGTGGGCTGGGGGGGGTGGCAGGGGAGACCGTGCCCTGAGACCCAGACCTGCGGAGCCGGGAGACTACATCAAGACATGTAAGGAAAAGGAGGAATAATAGGCCTAGGGGCCAGGGAACCTACCTAGAAGTTCGGGAATACGGGTCGTACAAGGCCTAAGGAGAGGACTTAGGGTTTGAAGGCAGTGACGTGGCTAGGTGGGCAGGGGACCACAACTCCCAGCGGCCGCCGGGCGGCCTAGGCGGAGCCAGAGACCCCAGGAGACGCCGCCGGTCACAGCTGCGTGCCCATTGGTCCCCGGGCCCTAGGCTCCGCCTGCCTCCCTCTGCATCTCCTTGCCACTCGCCTCTCGGGACCATTCATTGATTCGCTCACTCACTCAACGATTAAAGGACTGCGTATTCACTTACTAGTAGTTGTGTAAGATTTCCTGCTTCAATTTCCTTGTTTCTTAAATGTGGATAATAGCTAACTCTAAAATGGTTATGAGGATCATATGAGTTAATAAAGTATTAGGATCGGTATTTGGCACAGTAACGACCTGAATGGTAGTTTTTCTCCTTTTAAAATCATTATTAGTACCATTTCCAGTTCTGTGCTGGGCAACGAGTATACCGTGGTGACCAAACAGACCAGGTCCACTGGAGAAAATAAATAATCGCAGTTTGTGATAAGTGTTATAGAGAAAATGCACAGAAGGGTGGGATGGTGACCGTGAGAAGTCAGGAAAGTGACCTTTAGGCAGCCTGCAACTCCACATAGGCTGGAAGAGTGTGCTAAGATGAGGGAACAGTCAGGGCACAAATCCTGAAAGTGGAAGGAAAACAAGGGGGGCCAGTATGGCTGGAGCAGAGTGAGAGTGGAGGACAGCTGTGGAAGTGTAGAGTGGCCAGGTGCCACAAGCAGGGTCCTATAGCCTTGGGGTGGAATTTGGATTTTAGTCTCACTTTGCTGGGGAACCAGCAAAAGGTTTTTTTACCAAGGAAGGGACATAGTCTCATTTACATTTTAAACAAATCATTCACAGGATGCATAGAGTTATGCACGCAATGTCTCTACAAGTCTACAGAAGAAGCTGGGATCCAGAGTCACCTCTGAGGAGAGAAGGCAGCAGATGGAGTGGGGAAGGGGTCACAGGAGTGGAAAGGAGACTCAGTTTATTGTTTTAGACTATTTGGAATTCTTACTATATACAAATGTTGCCTATTGAAAAATAATTTTTGATATATTAACATCTTTTTTTAAGGATCCCTCTGGCTGTGTTGAATATAAGATTGTAGGGGATAGTGGAGCAGGAGGGCAGAGAAGAGACTATGGCAATAATCCAGGTGAGGGGCTTCCCTGGTGGTGCAGTTGTTGAGAGTCCGTCTGCTGATGCAGGGGACACGGGTTCGTGCCCCGGTCCGGGAAGATCCCACATGCCGCGGAGCGGCTGGGCCCGTGAGCCATGGCCGCTGGGCCTGCGCGTGCGGAGCCTGTGCTCCGCGACGGGAGAGGCCGCGGCAGTGAGAGGGCCGCGTACTGCAAAAAATAATAATAATAATAATAATCCAGGTGGGAGGCACAGGTGGGCTGGATCGCAGGCAGGGTGGCTGCAGTAGAAGTGGCCACTTTCACAATTTATTTTCAAGCTGGAGCCGAAAGGACTTGTGCAGAGAGTGAATAAAAGAGAGGGGTGAAGAGATGCCAAGGTTTTTGCTTGTACAGAAGTGTCATTTTGTGAAAGGGAAATCACTATGGGAGGAGAGGGTGGGAGTGCGGGGGGAGATGGAAATATCACTTGTTTCTATGAGGTACATTTAAGATGTTGACTAAACAATTTGGATAGGGGAGTCTGGAGCTATAATTTTGGGAGCCTTCAGTGTTGGAATTGATGAGAATGAGTGAGAGATCACGAGGAGGTGTGTGTGGACAAAGACTGGGACACTCCATCCCTTTAGAGGTCAGACCTATGAGGGGCAACCAGCAAATGAGAGGACAGACGCATGATATTTGAGGAGAAGCCCCAGGCAAGGTCATATTTCTCATCCTTGCTTGCCTGACCCACTAAGCTGCCTGCCCAAGGGTTTCCCAGGGCTGATGGTGCCCCAACCTGAGCCCCAAATCTGGCCTGGATTGTGGCCAAATAGGGAACCGGTGCTCACTGGACCCAGACTGCAAGTTTGATATCAACAGTTACCTCCAGAACCCTGACAATGTCAGGACACCCCACCGCTGGCAGCAGGAAGGAGAAAGAACTGTAGGGACAGAAGCCTCCTTCTCTTCCTTAATCTCCCTAAATCCTCAGTTCTCACCATTCTTAGCGGTCCAAGCCATTGTGATCTCTTGCCTGGGTAACAGCCTCCTAACTCTTGCCACCTTGACTCTCATTCCGCTAATCAAAACACTCCAATGGCTTCCCAACGCCCTTAGAATTAAATACAAACTCTTTCTCTAAAGCCCTGCATGGTGGGACCCCTACTGCTCTCTTCAGGCTGATCTCTTCTGTGCCCTTTCTGTCCTCCATCTAGTTGATGCCTTCTCATCCCTCAGATCCCATCAGGACACATGTGTTGGTATGAATTCCTAGGATTGTCTAAGCATGGAGAAAGGTGTGCCAGGATACACTCCAGCATGAGCAAAATGGCAACATGTCAGAATGTGAAATGAAAACACAGGCTGAAATTCTATTAGCAATATTACAGTACAGCTCTCTGAAACCATCTAGCTTACCCAATTTGCCAGTTTGCAAGCCACTGTTCATTTATCTGTAAAACCTACCCAGCCTAGCTGGCTACTATTATGACAAAGCAATTCTGCTCCCATCCGTTAAGCTGTACACTTCCTGAGGAGTAGCTGTTACCAAACCTGTTTATGCCAGCTATGCTTAAGTTAATAACTTAACCCTATCAGATAAATGAAATATTAATGCAAGAGAGTTGTTTGTATGCAAAGCAGGTTGCCTGCATTGGAAAGAATAAAAGTGAGCTACTTAAAAAAAAATAAAATGCTGCCAAATTAGATGCAAGCAAAGCAACCGTAAATGATTAAACGGAAACGCTCATAAAAACCTAGGAAGGTCCAGCCTTCAGTTTGCTGGATAAGTGTCTTTAGGTTCTCAAGTCACTTTTTAAAAAAAATAAATTTCTTTACTTTTGGCTGCGTTGGGTCTTCATTGCAGTGCATGGGCTTTCTCTAGTTGCGGCGAGCGGGGGCTACTCTTCGTTGCATTGCGCAGGCTTCTCATTGTGGTGGCTTCTCTTGTTGCAGAGCTCAGGCTCTAGGCACGCGGGCTCAGTAATTGTGGTGCACAGGCTTAGTTGCTCCGCGGCATATAGGATCTTCCTGGACCAGGGATCGAACCCTTGTCCCCTGCATTGGCAGGTGGATTCTTAACCACTACACCACCAGGGAAGTCCCTCTCAGGTCACTTTTTAAAAAGAACTGGAAATGATAAATGACTTTGTGGTTTATGGGTGCAGTTTATACAAGCATGTGATGTTGTATGAGAACTGAGAGATGTATACTTAAAGAAAAGGTCTTGGGTACTTCCCTGGTGGCACAGTGGTTAAGAATCCGCCTGCCAATGCAGGGGACACGGGTTCGATCACTGGTCCGGGAAGATCCCACATGCCACGGAGCAACTAAGCCCATGTGCCACAACTACTAAAGCCCGCGCGTTCTAGGGCCCAGGTGCCGCAACTACTGAGCCTGCGTGCTGCAACTACTGAAGCCTACGCACCTAGAGCCTGTGCTCCGCAACAAGAGAAGCCACCGCAATGAGAAGCCCGCACACCTCAACGAAGAGTAGCCCCCACTGGCCGCAACTAGAGAAAGCCCACACACAGCAACGAAGACCCAGTGCAGCGAAAAAACAACAACAACAAAAAGGTCTTGGTTCTACATAGAGGGAAGAGACGAATGTCTTTCTAAAATGTTCTTGATGAAAATAAAACATTTAAAGTGTTTAGATGTTCATTAATGCTATTTGCCATCTTTTTCTAACTCCCCACTGGCCCAGCAATTGAAAGGATTGCACTTCCTGACCCCACTACATTTGAGTGGGGCCATATAATTCTGGCTAACGAGATATGGGCAAAAATAACACATGTGAATTCAGTCTGGAGCATTTATTTACTGGTGCCAGACCAGAGCACTCTATGCCTTTCCCATGCCACTTGGCAATGTTTAAGCTCTCTCAGCATGGGCTCCAAGCTGATCCTCCATGTAGCGAGAGTGAGAATATTCACCTTTTCTATTTCAAGCCGCTGCAGTTTGGGGGTTGTTTGTTACTGCAGCATAACCCAGCCTATCCTGACATAGAAATGTCCTTTTCAAATAATCCTGTTTAACCAATCTGATTGCTTTTACTGAAAGGGCAAGCTGGGAGTACAAACAGATGCGTATGTGGCATAGACAAGGACATGAAGACAACATGGACAAATAGCACTTTATACTACAAAGTGGGAGTAAGGTGATCTCTACCTTGAAGTTTCTCTTTTGTTTGTTTTTGCAATTACAAAATAATGTTCTTAAAAAAAAAAGGGGGTCTACCTAATACACATTCTTCAAGCTCTATACATTCTTCCTTAAGCTTTCTCATCATGATTTGTAATTATTTCTGTCTCCC